TATAAATTAACACCTTTTCTTCTTATAAATAAGCACCGTGTTACATTATGAGGTTGATGAGAATATAAATCAACCCGTTCGTTTTCATGATTTATTATATAACTTGTTACTTTTTAAAACCTCGCGATTTCTTAAGTAATTAGTTTTCAGTTGTCATACAACAGTATATTTCAGGAAGTTTAAATACTCTGACATCAGTTGTTTTTTACTGTCACATTCCCAGAGTACATGTCATCGTCTTTCCTCTTACTTTCATGAAAGTGTGTTAGATAATTTTATTTCAAGACGTCTTGTATAATTTGTTCTCAATATTGTAGTACATTCTCGGAATGTTTTAGGTAGCTCTTCCCAGTTTCAAGTAATTGATATTTGGTATTATTATTTTAATCAAACCTGATCAGCACTTTAAGCAAACACAAATAAAAGGTCAATTAAACATGAGAATATCAACTGAAGCATCCAAATAAATAAACCGCAGAACGTACAAGCATTCACCTACTCCACTTTTTTTCTACACTTAAATATTATTGATTATAATATTTAAAATAATTTTCGATCATTTTGCTACTTATGGAGGTTATTTTTTTACTGTGATTGGTGATTCTGTAACCAGTAGGGTTACGGACCCACAGGAAGTTTGGTGCATACAGTTCTCGTCGGCATTTCTAGATTTAATAATTAGTTTTTAGATGTTCCGATGTAAGGTTACATTCTTTAAGGCGCATAGTTAGTTTGAGGGCCTATAACGCTAAAAATCGGTTTTTGATATCCGGGGTGCGCAGAGCACAGATAGCCCATTGTGTGGCTTTGTGTTTAACAACAAACCAAACTTTAGTTGTAATGTAAACACCTTTTAGAAGCTGACGAAGCATGATTATAATTGTATTTGTCATAATACATTAGTATTAGGTCTATTATATTTTTAAACACCACATTCTTTAGCTAGTACCTTAGGGAGTTTCAAGAATTAGACGAATGTACACTAAGTGGTCACAAGTAAATAGACACCTATTTTTTTGTCATTTAACTGATTT